CGTCTCCCAGTCGGAAAAATAAACATATCCTAATCTCTTCGCGAAAGCGTTTAGAGGTATTTATCCTATCGCTTCAAATGACTAACTGTTTTCTATCACTTAAAAAGTAGAAATAAATTTACCGAAGACAGCCTGCTTACGGTTTGTATATATCATAATGAGGAAAAAGCTTTATCCATAGGGTTCTAACAATCGGATGCGCGATATGAATCCGAAACACAACGACTACGGTTCTCAATCGCAAAACATTCTACTTTGCTACCTAATCGTCTCAATACCATTCATGGGGATAATAATAATTTATATTTCGTAGAAACGGATAAGTTTACAAGAAATGCATGCCACTTTTACAGGCACGATCAGTTATGTTATAAATTACAATCCGTAAGTATCATTAATTTACACTTTTTCAAATGTTTGAATTGTTCAATCAGAACAGGTTCTTATAAATGTTAAATTGTGAACCCTCCACTAAGGTCACCGTCAAAGTTGAGCGACAACCCAAACTTCGTTTCGTTTCCTTCTGAACAAAGTGAAAGTTTTAGCTTTAATAATGGCATAGGTAGTTAACATAGAGTATAACAGTGCGTAAACAAAAAGATTATTCTGAGGTAGGTAAATGATAATTAAGTGAGTAGTGAATTCGGAGATCTGGAAAATTGGAACCCATTAGGTTACCAGATACATCGATACCTGAGGATATTCTTAGGATTCTCTGAACACTTTCAATTTTTTTCAGTCTGCAGACCTTAGGCTACACGAGGGCACAATATTCAAGTTTGGGGTGGATACATGTTCTATATATATAATCGTGCTTCTTGGGTGTAGAAGTTACCCAGTACAAAGCCAACAAGTCATTCATAGTCAGATACAACCTTATTTGCATGATCAGAAGTGGCCTAATACAATCTCCTACAGCTACAACCTTATTAACCAACTTAACACTGCCTTAGAATTATAAGGTTAGATAGGACATTCAGATGATTTTTTCGGTAAAAAATGTATATCCTATCTCCACAACAGATTCACTATTCATAATTACTCGGAAACCATCTTCACAATCATTACTGAGATTGCGGATTAATTTCAACGCGATTGTTAGTGTTATTGCCAAGTGACAAAACACTACGGTTGAATGCTGCTGCCCATGGTTTCTTCAAAGGCAGCCAGTGTCTGTGTACATACCTCGCAAAACGGGGATCCAGATGCCGTATGAGACCGAGGTATGTGTAGAATCTGTATATAAATTTATGATCAGTTCCAAAAATTTACCCATGAATTGATTCCTCGCGAATCATACTCGACAGGTACTGCCTAACAAGCTTACTTTTTGTCTACAAAATCTTTAGAATTTACAAAACTTACCTTTTTACGCATTGCACGAGAAACATGGAATGCACACAATATTATATTGCAAAGTGGGTGCGTTGTCTCAACGGCACCTCTCAATGCTTTTGCGCAATCCATGACAAACGTTTCTGTATTGGAAGTCGTACCCATTACACATTTAAATTTATCCAGAATCGTCGTTAAATCATCCAGCCTTTCTTGCCTACTCCATGCAAACATAACCGGCAGACCTTATCCATGAGAGTCTGTAACAACAAATTGAAACAGTTTATAGCTTCAAATATTTGATGTAGAAAACATTTACACCTACTTTCCTCTATCAGTGTTGTAGGTGGAATCGAAACTCACGACCTCAGGGAATTTGTGGTAAATTTCTATTTGCCCATTTGAACTAAAACATGCTATTTTTATTCTTCCATCGTTTTCACCCCGAATTATAACCAATTTCCCAGCTTGGTGTAATCTGGAAAAAACCACTGACTGTAAATCACAATCTGAAAGGTTATTCTTGTACATCAAAGTCTCACCTTCAACTACAGTAGCTCTTATATTTCGTAGATCATTGTACGTCATCCTTTTTTTGAATTGTTCTGCAACGTAATCAATAACCTTTTCAGGATCGGATGAAACAGACAGCATCGGCTTAACTATAGAAAGTTCAGACTCATCTAATTTGCGTGCTCTAGCATCCTTCATTAAATAATCACGAGTGCAATAGTGATTATGAATCATATATACAGATGGTATAATGAATTCATTGCAATGATATTGGATGCGTATCATTGATGGGCAACCACAGTATTTAGATCTACTCCGTAAGACATTAAAAACCACAGGATGTGATTGCTTACGGATTTCCTTTTGTATCCAAAAGTACATACATACACCGCATAGTCATACTTCACATGTGGCTTATCCTTATTTAATTTAGATTCTTTCACAATATACCGGGTGTTTGTTAACTGATAATAGACACACTGATACTGTGCTTACCTTCTCAAAAAGCTTCAAAGCTTTTTCAACATCATCCCAGGTTCTAAATTCTTCAGGTTTAATTTGCTCTTCGAAAACTTTGCTAATATCAACTCTGATTGTATTTTCCTCATCAGATTGACTCGTATATTACTGCATGCTGTAAACATGAATGTGACAGACATTGTTTTTTCCACATTTCTACATGTTAAGTAAGCAACTGAGCTAGTAACAACAACGGCAACCAAAAATGAACTGGAAACAACTGCTTCCGCCACCCAAACATGCTCATGCGCATAATTTCCGAAACTTCTAGACAGTACTAGTTCATTATTAGCGGAAAAACAACTAAAAACCTGAAACCATGAATGAATGCAACGTATGAAACAATTACAATGAAATGAATGCACTGACCTGCTGGTAAAAACTTTCGAAACAAACGAAATAACTAATTTTAACAGAAACGGAAACAATAATGAAGTGAAACGCAACATTTGTGAACAATGTGCATCAAGATACGTGGTGAATAAGTGCTGGATAAACGGAAAAATCGATGTGTAAACGAACAGCTACAGAACTGCAATCCAACATGGCCGACTAACATGGACGAAAATGACCTTTGAGCGTCTCACTCCATCAATGACCTTGTACATGGCGTTTAATTTCTGCCCACATTATTGATAAATTAAAACTAAATTAAAAGAGTAAACCAAAGCAATTTTGCAAAATGTTGTAAGGTGGAATTTTTGATAGCCCTATGTTCAAGCAGACCGCCAAGATGTAAGCATTAAAAAAAGAATGAGACACATCGGCAAGTTTGCTCAGGCCAGTGATGCCGAAATTATTGAAACAAATGAAAAAATCTCCGAAATGGAATACGGGACGACTCATGAAACTGATAAATAAGGAGAATTAAGCTCATGCAATAGCTGGTGCGAGATCAAGCTTCAGTGCATACCAAGTAGAAAATTAGGTTGCATCATCGTGGATGGATGCTGGGGATGAAACAATCTTAGTTCAGGCCGAACAAGGCAACCAAAGACCAGACAACAACACTGCGCATCTCCGTTCAGCGTGACCAATAATGACTATGAATAGAGTCGCATATTATTGCCCATGACTTTCTTGATCGAGGTGCAGTAAACCGTGCGCACAGTGTGGGCAGTGAAATAACAAAAAGCCCCTGGAAAGTCTGCATTTCGAGGATGACTGGTTTCACGCATCTCAAAAAATTGAAATTTACAAGCGAAATACAACAAGCTGGCGGTAGGAGCAGCGAGGAAGGGACTTCTGGTGAATAGACAGAATACAGCCGAAAACACTATACATCGGTCGGAGCCAACGGCAAAAAATTTCGAGAAAATCCCCTGTACTTAGGAGGATTCGGCTCAATTCCGGGTGGAGCAGATAAAGATGTCTTAACCATTTGGAATCTGTCCGGGAAAGCAAAACACACAGGTGCTGATTACCTTGAAACCAGTGTGAAGTTCTACTACACTTAATAGGGGGAAAAATTTGAAACTTCAACACGGACATCAGGTTAGTCAGCTCTTCTCTGTGACTGAGAGACTTGGTTCACAAGTTACTGCGACCACTTTTAACAGGCTACCACAGATTTTCATCTGGAGATGTTTTCACTCGGTACTGAATATAGTATGACCGGTTAGAATGGTTACGCAACAAGAAGTGCTGACGGCCGAGTAGCCAGAAACTTTATGTCTAACACATGTGCTTAAAAATATGTAGGAATATTGATATATTGTGGCTGTCTTTAAGTGAAATCCCACTCCAGGCTGTCGAGTGGAAGATGAATGGGAAGCGGCGAGTTTGGGCAAGTTACTTGAGTGACACTGAGAAGACCATGGGCAAAGGAGGAAGTTAAGGCTTGTAGGCAGACGTAAGGGCATGTTGGAGTGATTGCAGGGATCCTGAAAGTCACCGAGAAGTTAGAACGGCAGAAAAATAGGGAGACTAGACATAGTGTGAAAATAGGGTCAAGCATTAAGAACCAGATGTGACTACCGTTTTCTGTACTTTTAGTGCTGATGGAGGGGAGGACGAAGAACCATACTCCTATTTCAAAGTGGATTAATATGAATGAGTCAACCATTTTTCAAAATTTCAGCACAGAGATATTGGATATTGTGTAGGTCATTGTAAGTCACCTAACATTAGGGCGCAAACTTGAACGGAACTTTACATTTGCGATAAAGTTGTATGTTACTATTGTCTATTCAAAATGTGAGTGCTATCATTGTGCGTATATTGTACTTTCCACTAAAATCCCTCATATTTGAAGTTAATCGTTGTGTCTGCTTATAAGATTCAGTGAAATCTGAAGAATTTTCAGATGTATTTTGGTTATACAACACTAATCAAACACTGAAAATATCAGGTGCACATGTTATTTCTTGAATTTTATTCGTAGGTGTTAGTTAGCTGTCCAGTTATAGCTTAAAAAGGTACTAGCTGTATGGCTGCTAAGAAAAGTATTCCTAAGTAACATTCCTTTTTGCACAGGTATTTGCTGCACATTGTGAACATGATATGTCACTAATGTTCACACAGCAGTCATTTTATGTAAGATTTGCTGCTATTATAAATACAAAAGTTCAAGAACTGCAAATGTTTGTGAAATGGCGGTGTGCTTAGCACTTTGAAAGACTTAAAACTGAATAATGTCTTCGAAACTTGTTGTGTTTCTAACAGAACGTTTGGCAGAGCACAATTATCATTGCCAAAGTCAAGGTCCTTCAAGAGTTGACCTACTAGAACTAATTGGACACAGCGAATGCTGGGAAAGGTCATGCCAAATCAATTCATGCCTGCTTCTTTGAACACAGTATTCTACTCACTCCCCAGGTACTTTTTTGCCTACCTTTACTGTTAGTTAGGGTTATTACTTTTTAGATTAAGATTTGAGGTGTAAAGTTAACGTTAGGATTAAGATTAAAGTTGAGATTAGAAGTTAAGATTATGGTTAGAGTTAAGAGTAAGTTAAAGAAGTGTCAGAAATGTCAATAGATTTCAAAGTATCATGACCTACAGTCAACTGGATGAATGCATCTATCGCGCATGGTATGATTTCTGTGGTGGAGACATTCTTATAACGCCTAAGCTACAAATATCCTGTTGGTATGCTTTTATTGCATTTTTCAGCGATTATTCCACTTTTTTTCATCTGAATTCTGACTAGTTGTCCACGGTTACACTATTTTTAGCTATTATAGTTAAACTTTACCGAAAGTTTGGTTTTTCCAATTTCATGGATTACACTAAATAAATTTCAATCATTCTTATACCTGTAATGTTTTCGAACAGACACCTCTTCACATTGGATTTGGTTTTGTCCTTATGCAGGAGCACAGTCTGATATGCAGTCAGTTAGTGTAACTGCTCATATGAGTTCAACGACTAGATTCATACATACTAAAATGGGTGGAAGACTAGTTGTATCCTTTCACATTTAATTTGCTACAGTCACTGTTCCCAACCAACAGTGGGTTTAGACAGGGTTGCCGAATCTCTCCATTTCTCTTTAACTTTGCCATCGATGACATTCTGGAGTCAGCTCTGAAGGATGTGCGTGAAGGTGGTGTAGATCTGCTACCTGGAGATAGACTTTTCGACCTCGAGTATGCAGACGATATCGTCTTACTGTGCGATAGCATGCAGGCTGCCTAAATCGCACTTAATCAGTTGGCGATCAGTGTCTGTAAGTATGGTATGTGCTTTGCACCGTCTAAGTGCAAAGTAATGTTAAAAGATTGGCAGGAGCCTGTACCTGCACTCACTCTTGCGGGTGAACCGCTTGAAGTTGTTGATAAGTATTTACAACCTTAGTCAGAATTAACCCAGTTTACAATGAAAATCTATGTAATTTAGGTGTTATAACCCACCTGTCTTTATTCTATGTCAAAAGTGGAAGAACAACTAGAGTTAAGGTTAGGGGTGAACCTAAACAAGGCAACTCAACCCTACATTCAAATCCTCATTTCCAGTATTCAGTTTTGTCAACTATTTACACTAGTTGTTCAGTTGTCTGGTCGCTGACTGCAGTTTCGTCTCGCTTGGGGACTACCTTTTTATGCACTTCAGTTACTGTGCATAAAGAAGTGCTCATATTTTGGTGTGATTTTGGTTTTCTGTTACATAAAGAACAGGACAGTGACTTCATTTATTCGGTACCTTATGGGCACCAAGAGATGAGCCAAAATCTCATAGTTCGTGCAAGTGAATCGTCATCCGTACTCAACCATGACCCCGGGCCATAAAGACAGCCCATCTACAATTCAGTCACTGAAATAAAATCGAATAACCAAGGCGCTTGCCTCACTATCATAAGGTCCTGAGTGCGTACTACTGAGTTTTAACCTGTGCTAGGAGATAAATTTGATATTCAGTATGCCAGATAATAGTACCGCCAAACTACTTCTGAATCGATATGTACACCAAAGTTCGAATACGTAACGCATCGTGTAAACAACGCTTACGACTTCAGGTTGATCTTAGCTTTTATCTAAGCTTATCGGTTAACCAAATTCTTCCCCCAGCTTGACACTGCCACAAATAGTAAAATACAAACTACATATACTATTGGCACCAAATAATGAGCCAGACAAAATCTGAACTTTGTGCGACATCTGGGATACTATAAAGACAACCAGAGACCGAACTAGGTGGTTGTCTCAAGGGACCACCCGCACCTCCGAGCAGTTGACTTGAAGTCTGATCCACAAGCCGATGGAACAGCAACTTCAGCTGTGTTCTCGTGGTTTCTGGTTACTGAAACAGGTTGATGCGTCATTCAGTATGTCCTGATTATTGAGTCCATGTACATCACAGGTTTGGAATGACAGTCTTCCACCTCCCCTCGGTAGACCTGTATATCCACCATTCTGGTTGTAAGAGCCAGACGTTCGCGTTCGCCCTTTCACTTGTGTAAGGAATGCCACTGTCGGATGAAGGCTGTTAATAGGACTTACCTGACCGAGGCTATGAGCTCATTACCACATGAGAGCATTTCGAGATGAAGACCGAAGTCTACTTACTTACTCTTAACTGAACCAAGTCGTTTATGGGGCCAATACTTTTCTTTTTTTCCGGTCACTTTCATCTTTGAACTATTTTTTTCAGATTCTATCATTAACGTAAAATATTATGACATCATGTTATTCATCACACTGTTATACTGGTACTATTATGACAAACTAATCGACATATTAATTGTCTTTCATCAAATTGGTATCGCAACATTTTAATTCCAGTAGATATGTAATGTGAGAATTGCGGCAAACATTCCTACAGTGTACATTACTTTACACTTAAATATACACGAGTAAGTATGAATCTAATGACGTATACAAGGTTCATCATTAAAGAACAGATTGATCAGTTATTTTTCATCTTCATAAGTGAGCTCACTTTAATTGCCTTCAGTTATGATAATAGTGTCGTTGCCAGTTGTGTTAGATACTTAATTCAAAAGTCGAGAGACTTGATTCGATTGAATTCATCAATGCATTTTATACAATGCAATACAAGTTACCTAGCGACAGTTTACTAAAATATGGTGTCTCATAAGATGCATTCGTCAAGGTGAGAATAGATGTTGAATGAACCAAGTGTGTGGTGAATTCAACTACTTACTGTGTAAAATCATTCCAAGAAAGTGTACTTATTTGATCATAAGGAAAACAGAGATAATTTTGGTGAAGATTTTTTGTTGATGTTTTTTTCGACGGAATTATCAACTAGGCTGGACACTGGTGAATATATATTGTGAATTCCTAATCAGGAGTCTAAATATAGGACGATATATATAAAGTAATACAAATAGGGATCAATATAAAATCACGAAAAATACCCATTTATTCATAAGTAAAAACACAGTTTTTGTTCAGCGAAGAAATTTCTTTTCAACGACTTCATTTTCAAGCTGTACAGTCGTATTTATATTACAGAAAAGGTCATTAAGTGGCACCATTAAGTGGGTACCGTTAGGGAGAAAGAGAAATCTAATTCATTCCTTATGCTCTAGAATTCGTAAAATCTGCTCTGCAGAGACAATCGATAGTGAACTAGATAAGCTTCGATCAAATCTCCTTAATAATGGTTATCCTACAAGGTTTATCGAACGTAACATCAAGAAAGAACACGCTCCCAGACAAATTACAGTGCCGAAGAAGAAACTGTTTATGAGTCTGGCATTCAAAGGTGACACCATTTCGGAATTGATTAAAAATCGTTTATCTAAATGTATTAAACGTACTTTTCCTGCAGCTGACTTACAACTAGTTTTTACCAGCCGAAATATGATTAGATAATGCGTCAAGGATAGATTACCGCTTTTGTCCACATCCATGTGCATCTACTCTTTTACCTGCTCTTGTGGAGTTGTTTATATTGGACGTTGTAAGCATAATCTCCGAAAACGTGTAGCTGAACACTATCCAGTCTGGTTAATGAAAGGCGAACGTAGAACTGCGAAGTCGTCTATCTGTGATCATCTGTTAGAGTCAGGTCATTTAGCCCCACGTGATTCATCTTTCAAAGTTATCTACATGGCAAAATCGAATGGATCCAAAAGTTTACGTTTTCTTCACTTATGCATAGCCGAAGCTTTAGCTATACGTGAACAGAAACCTAACTTATGTGTTCAAAAACGTTTTGTCAAACCCCTTTCTTTACCTTGGTCATAGTAATGTTCTTTCTAGTTTTTACTTTATTTTATTTTACCACTTGAATTCTTTCCACTTCACTTCACATCTTCATTCTTATCGTAATCGTACTCTTATTTTATAAAATTTTTAGACAACATTTGACATTTTAAAAACATTTTTCAATTCACTTATAAAACAATCTTTAATTATTTTGTAATTTATCCACTTCAACTCTACCCCTTATAACATTTTAATAATCGTTATTCTTATCACATATATGTATATTGACTGAGCAATTATTTAGTGCCACTTAATGACCTTTTCTGTAATATAAATACGACTGTACAACTTGAAAATGAAGTCGTTGAAAAGAAATTTCTTCGCTGAACAAAAACTGTGTTTTTACTTATCAATATAAAAACCAAATAGAAAGTTCGGGGAATAAAAATAATTAACTAATAGTAATTTTATCCAGAAAGTAAGCTGGATATCATGACCAAGTCGAATGCACAGTTTGAATATACCTTTTGGACACATAATATTAACTTAAATTTTCGAATCACTAATGCTACAAGTGTGTCTAAATGAGGTGTTTTAGTCGTACTCCTTGTGATGTATACTCAACCATACTGATGATATTCGTTTCTGATTACCAAAAGCTGAACAGAACACATTTCACAGAACTTTCTTGATATTTATGAATTAACATTATAGGCCGAGAGTTGGTATTCGAGAATTATGCTGCTACTACCACCGCGAAGTAAAGTTCCGAAAAAAGACTGATGAACTTTTCAAAATTTTAAAGAAGGTTCAGTCAATTCTGTCAAAGGGGGGGGGGTAAAACCAAAACACCTTATCCATGCACAGCTGAAGCATTAGTTATATGAAAATTTAAGTCGACACCGTCCACAAAGTATGTTCGACCTACTTTTATCATGGCCATCATATCCAGTTTATCTATACTTTAGGAAACAAGTTCCCTTGTTGAGAAACAGATGGACGAATCATCTGAAAATCTTATCTTAAGATTTTTTAAGGAACTTAATTGGTTTTTCTTAGTGTAATTACTAAGGTGTTAGGGACCGACATTCAGTGTCATTGTGGTGTATGTAAAAAGAAATAGGCTTTTGGCTATATTTTACATGTTAGTCAGTTTTGCTTAACAAAGCCTCCCCTCTCGGCTAGAGGGGACTAAGTAAA